AAACAGAAAAATGATCCAGCTTTTGTAGCCAGAGTGTGACAGTTTATACAAGTATACAAGTAAGAAAAGAGGGTTTAGAGAGGTGATAATGTCAACAGTAAGAGGTGATACACAAGAAAAATAGAACTAACACTCATTTCCGTTCCAGCAACCAGGCTTCCCTACTCTTCCCACTCTTATCCAGGTGTCCATTCATGTACTAAAAGGGCAGCATGTGCCACTTTTTTCTCAGCACCATCTTTTCACAGACACAGCCCTGTATAAACTGCCCTGTTTTCCCACAGATGTAGTAGTCTTACTCTCCTTAACTTAGATACCAACTGTGCAACATGAAGGTCTGGAGTAAAACTTGCCTTGTCCTGTGTTCCTTCAGTCATCTTTCTCCCTTTCCCCCTCTCATCTTCCTTTTATACACATGTGAAGTTTAGTGAATTCTTCATGCCTCCACCCACATCCCTTCAGTCCATTTCAGACCTTCCACAGTCTGTAAAAAGTCCTGCCCTTCAACTCTCAATTGATTTTTACTTCTTCTAAGTTCTCATATAATTTCTATTTGTTGTCAAACAGTACTACATACGAGATAATGGCCAGCAACCCTAGTTCCTCTATGAATTAGGAGAATACAGAATAAGCACTCAATAAGCATTCTGTCTTCTGATAAAAGAATCTTAATCAGGAATTGTAAATCAAATTATTTTTTTTTTCTTTTAGCAATAAAGGACTCTTCTGCTATCCTTTAAGTATTATAAACATCTTGGGAAATACACTCCACATCCTCATTTGGCACTTAGGCTTCAGGTGTATGATGAAAATGCCATCATGCTCCTAGTAGCAAATTAGGGCTTGTAATGTTAGGGCTGACATACTTTGTATACAGGGTGGGAAAATACAAGCTCTAGTATTTCTTGCCTTTGCAGTTTGTGCTTTTCATTAACCTCTTCTCTGTGTCTTTGGGAATGTATCTTTGGCAGTAAAAAAAGGAAAGTAGTTAGATATTGATAAGAAAAATAAGATTAATACGGAAACTTGTGTACCTCTATCTTTTTTTTTTCCCTTAATTTTTTTAAAATTTATGTTTTATAACCAGTTTTGCATGTGCAGTCTGCCACGTACTTGATGTCCAAATGAATTCAGTCTGTGATCAAGTATTAACATATAAAATAACCGGTCCTTTGCTCTCAGCCATTAAAATACTACTTCCAGGCAGGAAGTAGCAGGTTTATTTCTGGACACAGATTCTCTTCTGGTTGGACAAATTTGCCCACCATGAGAAGAGACTGGATTTGGCTTCTGCCTGTAATTCTGCAGAATGAGCAGGAGCATTTACTCCTTTTATGCAATGGTCTCATACTCATCTAGTGCTGCACAGTGATTGTTTTTGCTTGTTCTTCCAGGAGCATTTGTGTTGTAGAATCCTAATTTAAATATTTTTCCAGTACGTGGCTGATATTTTGTAGAAAACAATGCAATTTTTAGAGTATTACTTGCCAATACTTACATTGTAAATAAGCAGTTTTATTGATAGTGCTTTTGCAACATATTACTTGTGCTGATCAGCATAAGAGAATATGACTTGAAATTTTAACTGTTTTTCCCCCTTTCAAGCATCTACATTGCTTTTAAAGCATTATTTTGATGATACTACTTTAGATGGCTTAAAGATTTGTAACACATTGTATTTATTAGTACAGGCTTGTGATGGAAGCAGAATAACTACTTCAGCAAGTCAGTGCAACTGGAGTGGTTTGAAATGGACATTACCACTTCTAGCACTTTGGGGAGTTTAACCCAAAGTTCAGATCTTTCAAACCAGGAAGACTTTTATGAGGACAGACCTTGATGAGGAGAACAGAACACTCTGGAAAGCACCATGCTTTTCATCTGCCTCCTGCAGATACCTAACTTCAGCAACTTCTGATCAGTTGATCAGTGTGGGATGGGGAGGTCCACCATGAGCAGGTTTGTTGTCACGGAGCTCCCTGAAGCAATCCTCCAAGCTGCATTTCTGTAGGTGTTATGAGGAGGGAACACACACATGATCTTCCAGGCCTTTGTGCTCTTTGGTTTCCCACACCCTTTTCTGGTGCTCTGGGCAACACCACATGCCTACCCTGGGCAGCAAGCCACTAGGGCTACCACGGGTGGCCCATCAACTGAGGCAGATTCACACATGGTTCAGGAGGTTTCCAAAGAACCTCAGACTGAAAAGTGATGCTGGCACCTTCTTTCTCCACAGGGTCATTCAAGATGTTTTAGCACCTGCCTTATGTGACATACTGCCTCCCCTCTGTGCCTCATGCTGCCCTGCCCAGGTATCATGCTGAAACACGAGCCTGGCTTGTCCCCATTAATTTTCTGAGGCAGAGCACCTACCCAGCTGCCTGACTGCAGAAGGGCACTCTTTGGGACACAGGTGTCCAGCCTATCTCTCAGTCTCAAGCATGGATGGCTGCTGTGCCCTCCCCAGCCTCTAAGAACTGAGGCAAGCAAAGGTGCTAGATTGTGTGCTCCAGAGTGCCAGTTCTGGAAGAGATGCTGCCATCAGCAGGAGGGGCAAGGGATGGGATGGAGGCTGCTGCTGTTCATGGCCTCTTCCTCACAGGACTGCAGAGAAGAGAGAAGCAAGCCTCACAGTCCCTGAACATTTATAATGACAAGTGCAGTTTATGGCCGTCCTGCCCACTGCCCTTAGGTTCTCAAGGACAGAGTTCTTTCCAGGATGGTGAGATTATTGGCATAAACTGGCTGAAGTCCTGTGAAGAACAGAGAAAGGTGAGCTCTGAACAGGGTGGCCATCCAAATCCTCATGTAGTTTACATTCGTGCTGTGTTCAGCAATATACTGTGGTAAATGGTCTGTTCTGGGCCTTGATGTCTGCAATGGGAAAAGGCAGAGGAGCTAGATGTAGTGGGCATTTTGGTGGGGACAGGGAGAGCTGAGTAGAGCATTGGAATTAGGAAGTGAGAGCAGAAAAGACTGGAAACAGCTCCCACAGTCCACTGAGAGATCAAAAACCTTTGTGCAGCCTTCATCATCTCAAATTTGACTTGACACTGATTGCCTCATCAGGTTTGTGATCTCCTGATGTGATCCTGATGTAACCACAAGGTAGTACAGTTGCCTCCAGGGAAGCTTTTGAATTTCTCACAGCACAGGTTTACAAGTGTGATTTCTTTGGATCTTGGTGTGACACCATACTGGATCTTCTGTACTATTTTGCATCTCCTGAACTCCAGAAGGAGTTGATGCTGCTTTTGATTATATGGGTGAGTGAAGTACAGCAGCCCAGCAATGGCCAGCAGGTCACAGCAATTATGAAGCTGTTATGCATCATGAGAAGCACTCCATGATTCTGCCTGAGCACTTGATGTTTTGAGAGCTGTCCGCTGGCTCAAGAGTGCTGCTTGTGTGCTAGAAAACTTGTGGTGGTGACTCACTCATCGGTTCTGGCCCTTGAGTCCCTAGTAGCTGTTACACCTTATCAGATGTGTTCCTGGAGATTTTCTGTCTTGGTTTTATCCCCAAGTAATTTAGTTCATGCACCCCAAGATTGCTCCCCAGTACAAAACATGTACTAAAGCATGGTGTCGGGGGAACAACTGGAAAAATAATTTTCAAAACCACATTTCTGTTCTGAGTTAAGACACTAATGCAAATACATTCTTTGTGGACACATTGTTTTTTAACTGAGAAGTTTAGGTCTGGGCTTTGACCCTGCAAAATAGTGCTACCTTCAGATCCTAAGGGAGTCTGCTCAGTATCAATTATATCAGTCTCTTTTGACTGGATTTAAGCTGTGTGTTTTAAACTGATTTACAAAAAATCAGATTTTAATAGCAATAGGAACTGTAAGTCCAGCACATCCCCAAATATTAAACAGGACTTAAAAAAAAACAACAACAAAAAACGTGTAGATTTACTTATGTGGATAATATTGGCTTGTGCTATGTTGTGTGTTGAGTGTTTCAGATAAATCTGGCATTGTAAAACTAAGCAAGCACAAATCCTTACAGTGAACTTACTAGTGGAAAAGGAAAAAAACAAACAAAAACACAATCTAGCAACAAAACTTAAAAAAGAAAAAAAAGAAAGAAAATTGAAAAATTTATGACTCAGGTCCTCATAACCAAGGCCTCTTTAGTAACACCAAAACAGGCTGTATTTCAAACAGGTTTTCACCTTGATAAAATAGTTTTTCCTACAGCCTCTCAAACATTTAAAATTGTCTCTTTTAATTTATATGTTCCTACTCAGCCTATTGCTTTCTCAATGCCACAGAAGCAAATAACAACACTCAAGGTCATACTGCTGAAGTACAGAATTGTATTTGTGTATAAATTTGGAGAAGAAACTTGTAATTTCATAACAGCAAAAACTTCTCCCACAATAAGTTCTGTTGGTTCTGCTGTTTATTTAATATCTAGGCTGGCCGTAACAGAAAACAGATGCTGGTGATAAATAGTGTTTGGGGAAATCCTTGACAGAGGCTTGAGCTGGAAATTAAATTTCCAGTAATCTCCAAGGGAAAATCTTTTCTAATATTCATGC